AAAGAAAGCTGCAGACTTCTTACTGTCCAAAAGCACAAAGGAAGTGATATAGGCTGACCACACCACCTGTGAAAAGCGCATTAGGAGTTGGAGGCTAAGGCTGACCTAAATATTGTTATCATGGCCATAGTACACCTGGAGATTCTTGAATCAGCAGCCAAGCCAGGATGCTTCACGAGCCTTTGCCAGAGGATGCCAGGGCCACCCACCCTTTTAATTTGCAATGGGAGACCAATGGAACAACCAAAGTACCAATCCTATATCCACCTCTCCCAATTGATCCTGTGCAAACTAGAATTATGGTAGAAATTAGGAACACAGATTAAGATGGTACTGTCACTAAGACTTTAGTTGAGACAGCCCAATAGACTTTGGCTGAAGTTAAAGCTGTAGCAAACAAGTTGGCTCAATCCACAAACTGGAGCGACATGGTTTTCCACCATGCTCCTGGCATATCCAAAAGCTAAAGGACAGGATTTACACAGGGGTAGACTATGCATAGATCCAGCCTGCTCTGGAGCATTTGAAGCAGCTGTGTCCAACCACAACTTAGCTACAGCAGAACTAAAAGAGTGGCTAACCAAGATGTTGCAAATTTCATGGTCTGGAACCCTATTAAGGGAAAAATATCAGAATGATATTTTTACAAGGCCAGATGAGTCGCCAGACACCTATGTAGCAAGGGTGTCTTGTCTTGTTAGGATGTCTGCATAGGTGTCTTGTCTTGTCCAGATGCATTCCACTCAATGGCGAGGGACAGCTCTTGCTAATTGACAGAGAAATAATCATTGAAGTTTACCTGGGACTTAATGAATCTGCTAAGACTTACCTGGGTACAGAAGCCAAGAGACTCTTGAACCTAGATAGGAACGGATTTATGGAGCATATTATATTAGCCTTGGAGGTCTATTGGATGTGGGAAGCTAGAAAAGAGGTGCGTACAACCTCCTCTAGCAGAACTGTAAAATTAGGAGGGAAAAAGCGCAATAAGGAAGGAGATCCAGTGCACCCAGTAACGTATAGGAACAATGGTCCCCATTCCAAGCCATTTTAGGAAGACAAAAGGAGAAGAGGGTACAGACCCACTAGTCCAGTAAATGTGCCATTAAAGGAAGATGAACTTAGAAGGAATACATGGAGACAACTCAGGGAAACTGGAGTATTCATGAAACCCTTAGATGGAAATCAACTGTAGAATTGTTGCAAGTTCTGGGTGATTTTTTGGAAGCTAAATACCAGACTCCAAGCACTCCCCCCCAATAACAATGGAACAGACCAGGACCACCCAGGATCATCTCAATCACCGAGAACACAGGAAGGGCCACAGAT